CACAACTTGAATATTTTTTAATTTCAGTGTCTTTTTCTAAATGCTGAAAGAGAAATTTCGTCACACTGGTAATAGTACTATCAGTGCCACCGCCATCAGTATTGTTACTTATCAAATGCAGTCACTGCCCTTCCTTTGTGATGTACTGAAACAAAAACAATACAGATATACATAAATAAAGGACGGCACATACAAATTAGCTTCTTTCCTTCTAATAAGTAGGATTGTGATTTTGCTATAAAAGGACTTTACTGAGTTTAATCTTAAAAGCCAAATCGATATTTAAGGCTTCTGTTACAAATAATGCTCCATCATTTTAACTGATAGAATTGGCATGATTTTGAACCATTTTTGTTTTTCTGCATTGTTTGAAATTGACTTACAAGCACAGTAGTTTTCAAACTTGAATATGTATATTCTTTTAGGAAGCGTCCACTCCCATGCTAATAAAGAGTAATAGCTAACAACTATTTAATAGAAAAGAACAGTAATCTTGAGTTTTTATATTTTTCATGACCAATTTATAAATAAATGAGCCAAAGTTGAGTGTCAATCCAAAACTATCAGGAGATGATTTCCACTAATGCAATACAAGTGTTCCAAAAGAACATTTATTTCATATATGGTAAAAAAAATCAGTATTGAAAATGCACATAAGATTTTATGCTAAAAATAGGGAGAGGCAATGGAGGAAAATGCTAGGTAATTATTATGTCCACTGCAAGGTCCAGGCACTGGGGGGGATTTCATGGGGACCTGTGATCATACTTCATTATTGTGACCATTCTGGAAGCCAATGGCTTTGTCCACCATCTTTTTGAGAAAGAAATAGAGGAGCCCCACCACTTTGATCACACAGAGGTGTATTTAATTCAGGACAATGTGACTCCCAACTTAATGATCTTATGTTTTATCAACAAAACATGAACTAAATTTTTGCTCTGGGCAAAAAGCTTTAACTATGGTACTGATAATTTTTAGTATTGTCATAGACTGGCAAGCCATGCAAAAATGGATGTGAGGTTATACATTCTTGTGAAAGGTGATAAAATCTGCCTTTTACTTATCTGGAAAGAAAGCCCTTCTTCTGGCACATTCATTCTACTGTTATCCTGGCATCCCCTAAATTATTTCCTGTTTGGTATATCATTAACTGACCATTTATAATTAAAATTGTTTTTTACATGTTGCCAATTAATAACTTTACATTATGTGATCAAAATTAGGCAATTAAATAATTATAAATTTCTGAGAAACTCATAAGCAGTCCCCCTAATGTGGTTGTATCATTCATGGTTGTTCGCAGGAATCAAATTTTATGGAATCCTTGATTTAATGACATGTGGACAAGGAATAGTAGTAAATTCCCTCAGTTAACTGCTATCTCTATGGAGGAGGTGTGGGCTGACACATTAAAAGTCATTCCATCCTACATACGGACTAAAAAGACACAAATTCCTCATGGACAGATCTCCCCATTCAGGTCCTAGAAAAGGAGAGATATTCCCTGGGTCACTGGAGAGCACACTTTCTCGCAGAGCAGTCAAGCAAAGTGTGCTATTGAGTGTTGAACTGCCTACCACAAAACCCTATGCTAGGCACTGTCTTCCTGATGACACACCTTTTCTTAAGGAAATGGCCAAAAGTCATTTGGTAATAACTTAATACTCTGGATGCCTTCCATCAAGGAAAAGTCTATGGTTTATCCTAAGTGGAACTGACAGCAGTCCCGGGTTCGCTTTATCTTTTCTATACACCCAGCCTTGGCTAGCGCCAACATTTAAGGGCTCACAGAATTTCTTTTCTCCCACTGTGAGATCCTGCACAATATTATCTCAAATACAATGGTCCTCTCAGAGAATGGGCCATCTGGAAGCTGCTGGCCTCCGGGAGCTGGGACAGATGTGAGAAGGCTCAGCCGATGAACCAGCGTAGAATGCACAGGCGCTGCTGGGATCAGTCTGGGAAGCTGAGGCTGGGCCACTCCCGGAACCATGCATTTGCCTAAATTCTTCTCTTGTCCTATGTTGTTTCTTTGATTTTCAAACAGAATTCTCCTAAGAACATTCTTCCGATAAAGTCTGAATAAAAATCTCCACATTAGCCTTTGCTTCTAGGGGACCTGAGTTAAAACAATAAGGACTACAGAGGTGTTTGTTACGGCTCATGATTGGAAGGGGGAAGGAAAAAGCCTCTATGGAAAAAAGATGCAGATTCCCAACAATAAGACATCTAACATTCATTTGTGCTAGAAATAAATATGTGTGTGCATTTGTCATGAAATTATAACAGATAAATTTAATGAAGATTTAATGCTTGCAAAATAAGCATCTATGCATTTTCTATGCATTTATTCATACAGTTCGTATAACGTAATTACAGTGTAGACTCCACTTTAATCCCTGTTTACACATTAAGGAATTTGAAGCAAAAAGAGACTGAAAAACTCTCTGAAGGCTACAGAGGAGTCAGCAATGAGACCTAAGGAGTCTGGGCTGAACTCTCATGTTCTTACTTTTTAATCATTGAATTCAAAAACACATTGAGTACCAAATACATATCAGAGGCAGTCACGAGTGTCCAAGCCCAGAGCACAAAACAAGAAGAAACCTTGCCTTCCTGGGGCCTGTCCTCTGATGTAAAACTGATGGAAAATAAACTAGATGTACAGAATCTGCCTGGTAGGTTAGGTGAAGCAGATATGGAGGAAGCTCAAACAGCAAAAAGCATCCCATTCTGGGCAGCGAGAAGAGCAAATGCAAAGGCCTTGCTGGAGGGCAGGTCCCGGCTCTGCTTTCCCACAGATTTTACCCATTCTCTCTCTTCCATCTAGCAGTAACTTTGGGTACATATCTGCAGTCCATATTAGTTGTTAACTTTGACCTGAGAGGAGTTTTCATCTGGTTAGGAGAGTTTAGCCTGCCCATCATGAAGAATCACCTTTTCCTCTGTTTCTCAACTCCTATCCACCCTCATTTCCCAAACAGTTGGACTGGGCTGAGAAGAGGGCTGCACCACAAATGAATAGTAACACTGTGAGCTGATTTTCTTGGCACCTGTCTGTGCAATGTGGCCGTTCTCCAAAATTTGGCCATTTTCATTGGCACCAAAACTGCACATCCACCGAGGCAGGGAAGGCATGAGAAACGGTCTCTCTCCCAGCTTCTTAACTTAAGCAACTTCATCCTTAGCAGGGAAACACTGATCTAAATCTGAGTTAAAGAGTCCTTGATCTTAATTTTCCTAAGGAGTTAGTTATTTCAGTTATACACGGCAGATAACACATACAGGTGAAAACTAGGAAATGAAATTCCAACGTTCTGAAATCTTCCATAGGTGAACATGAACCTTACTGCACTTTCTTTTTATCAAGACAACTGGAAGCACAGTAAAGAAAGGGAGTATACTATTTTAGATGTTATATACTGCTTTCAACAAAGCCCTTGATTTTCAACCAAAGAAATATATTGTCTTGATTTTTTAGTCAAAGAGTTATATCATCCAAAGTACACATTTAGCAGTTTTCTTACACTGAATTAAAAATATGAAATATTTGCTTTACTTAAAAATACAAATTCTGAGTCCAAATGGTGTGGTTTGCTAAAGTCATTGGGTAGAGTTAGGATTCTCTGTGATTTTTCAAAATCAAGGGTGGGGACATAAACTCAGAAAACTGGCAAAAAAGATGAAAGTCAAACTACCTCATAAAACTTCAGAAATTGTAGATAACCAATATCATCACAATTGAATCACTAAGCAATCTTTAAGGGACTGGAAGTTAGGATTTATGATCGCTTAAAAGGAAAGGAAAAAAATGATAAAGGGAAGTAAACTAACTCAGAATGTAAACATTGTGAGAGAGATCTGTAACTATTTTTTTTTTTACTTAAAAGTTATTTATGGTCTTCAGAAAGAAATTCTTTTGCACAAGATATCAAATGAGTTATCCATGTAATATAAAATAATTATGAGCTCTAAGTCAGTTTTTGTGAAGACTTTGACATATGAACAAGTCTAATTCTTGACAATAAATTTCCTTGTAACCTAGACCAGATAAATGCTGTCTCTTTATTTTATTAGAAACAAGAAATATTGTTGCTGTATTATTATTAGTAATATTAATATTAATATAAATTATCAAAATGTAATTTCTCTTGAAGTAATTTTTACAGATTGCACAACTGTAAGTGTTATTCTAATATAGACTAATTAAGAATCACTTTGGCTTCTAGTCAAACAAATTTATCATATCTTATTATAAATCTATTGCCTTTTGTTTTCCATCAACTTATGACTAACAAAATATTTTTCCTATGATTCTAATAAATATTCATGTAAATGATTAGTACAGAAAATAATAAGGTATATAATCAAAACTTTGGCAATATTTCAGTCATGAAATCTGATTTTTAGAGGGTAGAAGAAATAGTTACGGGGAATTTCTATGATTCAAAAGGATTTGGCTATCAAGAACTGAACACATTTATTTACAGTGTATTTATGAAACAAGCTGAAAATGTGAAGCCATATTCATTTCCACAATTCTCAAAGAATGAGATAAGCAGCCTGAGTATTTTATTTTATTTTATTTTTATTTTTACTTTGTTGGTACCAGGGATTGAACTCGGGTCCTTGCGTTTGCAAGGCAGGCCACTGAACTGCTGAGCTAAATCCCTGGCCCCTGAGTATTTTAAATCACTCTTTGATAACAATTATTTTTCCTTAAGTCAATCTTAACAGAAACGAAGATAACACATGGTAAATGAGAAAATGAACTCTGGACAAAAAGAAAAGAAAATGGTGAGCTGTCATCCTATCTTAGATTGGTTTGCTCAGAAACTAAAATATAAATTTATTTTCAACTGCTTAAGTATTGGAAATAAGAGCTACAAAAATATGCACATTAAATAAAGATATCCTAACAATGAAGAAATACATACAGATTTTGCCACAAAAGAATGGAAAATGTGAATTCCACATCATAGGTTTTTCTTTGGGTTTTATCTGTTAAAGTTTTGAGATTGTTTTTTCCTTGGCACTGGTCAATTCTTGAGTCTCCTGGAGCTCACCATGGAACAGCTTTTCAGAGAGAAGCCTAGACTTTCTCTTCGACTTAAGTTCACTGCCCAGGGGAATTTCTTCATGTCTTGGTATCACTGATGTTTTTTCATTTTTGAAGATTTCTATAAGTAAAGGAAAAATCAGATGGGTAAATCAGAATATGTATTAGAAACTACCAGGAAGGAAGCTGCCTGCTTTTAAATATTATTTATAAGACTCTCATGCATGTATGTGTTTTGAGAAATACGTAGAAGGAAAGTGAGAAGAACACCCTACCCAAATACAAATAAACAGAAGAGATATAAATTCCTCAGATACAGAGTAGTTATTTCTACAAATAGGAGACAATACTTTAAATTTGTAAAGTGTGTTTTAATTGACAAAATGCTCTTCTTTGCAGGTAAGTTCATCCTGATAACAACCCTGTTTTATGGATAATATATGCTAGGAAAATAAGGGCAAAGTAAAACTGTGACTTGACCAACATTCACACAACTAGTGATGGATTGTAAAGGATTTGATCTAAAAATATCTGACCCTAGAACCAACACTCTTTGACTAGATCTGCGGAGTAGAACCCAAACCTAATGAACTTCTAACAACTACAGAAAGGAAAACTAAGGTAAAGCAGTTGATCTCAAGCATACTGTAGTTCTGTAAGGCTCCTGATTAACATATTCACAGACCTGACTCCAACACAGAGCTCAACAAACTAATGAACTGTCAACTAGAGCACAGGAATTCTGTCTGTCTTCAGACGATGCACTTCACTTCCGCCACTGTGGCTCTACAAAGCATGAGGATGAGCGGCATGAAAAGCCATATTCACAGGCCCTACAACCCTGGAGAGGTACAGAAAGCCAGAAACCTCTGGCGCTCTCTCATAGTTCGACTGTAGTAAAGATTTGTGAAGTGCTCATCGCCTGGACTAAGACAGGATCCCTCGGTGGCCTTTGCTCCTGAATAGTCATCAGCCAGGGACAGATTGCTTTCCTTCTGTCTTAGGCACTTCCCCATCACTAAATGCAATACCTGGCACCCGCGATGTACAGGGTGAGAGGTTTATTCTGGCTCACGGTTTCTATCCATGCTGAGCTGGCTCCAAGGCACAGAAAGCTGGCAGAAGGGCCTGGTGGAAGAGAAGTGTGCTACTCATGGCAGCCAAGGAGGCAGAGGGACGGGAGGAGCTGGGACAAGAACACAGCTTTCTAGGTCTGACCCCAGGGACCACCTCCAATCCAACTCTGCCTCCTAAAGGCCCGCTCTCTCTGGCCTTGAGAATGGAGGGAGCCACTGAGCACAGGGCTCCATGACCCAGTCGCCCTCCGAAAGCGTGAGACCTTGGCGGACATTTTAGACCTACACTGTAACATCTCCCCTCTCCTTTCCTTTCTTTCTTCTTGCTTCTTTTTCCTTCCCTCTTTTCTTCTTCTCTCCCTATTTCCATCCCTTTTTCTTCCTTTTCTCTTTCCCTTCCTTTCTTGCCTCTATTCTGTAAATTCTTTTTCCTCCACTTTGCTGTATGACTTATTACTAGTCACCTAAACATAGGGCCCTCATTTCTTTACCTTTAAAAATAGGAATAGGGGAAGGAATAACAATGCCTGTTGTATGGATAGGGTTGTTCCGATGGTTAAATGAGTAGATGAACGTAAAGAGCTTCAAACTTTCTGACCAGCTGTTAGCAATTTGTATAATATGTGTGCAACACAAAGAGAAAACATGCACGTTAACGATTACTGCAGCTCTCACAAAGTGGTAAGGAAGACTGCTGAGGTCAAACCAGGATGAAATATTGCTGTACCTTGATTCACGAACTTAACCGGTTTCACAATTCTGGGGAAGATCACTGCATCTGTGCTTGTGTGGGGTAGATGGCCACAGTCCTTCTCATCACTCGATGTGCAGTTCAAGGACAGAAGCAAAATTTTGCCCAGTGCTTCTGTCCCCGAACCAAATTTGGGGACAGAAGCACTGGCGAACTGAGCATTACGGTAGATTTTTCCGTATATCTCCTTAATGGCCTGAATTGGTTATGCGTGCGTGGGCGTGTGCACATGCACACATGTATATCAACATCTCCCATTAGTGCCGGTGAGCTGTGGGCACTGGAGGAGGTTAGTGGCCTGATGTGCGAGGTGGCCAGGGCCTCATGTTCTTGTGGATTTCAAGACCTCTGATCACAGTCCACTCTCCCAACTGTCTTACATTTTAGATATCTCTTATGCCACAAATAGTGATACTGCTATCCCTTACCATCTCTGAGTCTTTATCTGTGAAAAAAGAATATAGCAATATTCCTTCCTTGTGGTGGCATTTTTCATGGTGAAGGAAGATAAGGGAAAATGAAATAGATATAGTGCAATACAAAGAACCAGAATCTCAAGACCTAGATCTGATTCCTGAGTCTTCAACTCACTGGCTGTGTGTCCCAAGGAATCCCTAAGTTCCATTTCCTTACCAGGGACTGAGTTTTGATAATAATAACTCAATTATAGAGTTGAGAAAATATCAAATGAAATAATGGAGCTGAAAGTGCTTTGTCAAACATGAAGTGCTTCAGAAATGTTACCTGCTAGTAGCGTGTCATACCCACATAGAACTGTTATGAGCCTATAGCAGCAAACGTCCATCTGTCACACTGACAGTTATTAGTCTCTGTGTGCCCTGTCAATAAGCTGATGTAAGGTAGTACACAGTCAAGCAGAAGAATGGAAAGTGAGGTTGTTAGAATAATTGTACTATTTCAGAATGAAATAATGGGATTTAAACGATGTTAATCTTAAAAGGGACTCTACAGATCACTCTGCTGCAGTAGTTCTGGCATAGATGTATACTGTAAATAACCCCGTGCTTCCTGGTGGACAGTTAGCATGGGGACAAAGATGTCTCACTCAGTAGGAGCACTGTTCTTTACTGTGTTCATTTTCAAGAAAACTATAAAATGTGCAGGAACTGTTTTTGCCAGCAATTATGTGGGTTTTAAAATGCAAATTGATTTAAAACCTTTTACTTTGGGGGCAATCATCACTCATTTCTTTCGAAAATGTCACACGTTTAACAGGGACATAATGTTTCTGAATTTGAATTGACTATTCCCTGAACCAACTGTTTAGCTGATAAAATGAACTGAGAGGTTTGGAGTCATATGCACTCTGTTCCTCAGAGCTCAAGGAAAACTCCACCCACAGAAGAACCAACATAGATTGGAGTTTGGCTTGATTTTTCTGTGTAACAACAACAACAAAAAAAGGTAAAGAAATGTCCTTCAATAGTCAGAATACCCATTTTAGTAAAATTTAAAAAAAAAATCTGTCATTCAATTCAAAAAATGAAGTTATAAGCCTAAAATTAGGTGAATAATTCCTTGAATGGGAAGATCAAAATGAAAGAAAATCTCCATTTTCTCATAATTAGAGAAGTCACATAAAGTGTATCTAAAACTGGTTTATATTCTCCAGAAAAGCCAATTCTTCCTACAACATTAATTTATATCAGCTATTCACACCTCCCTTTTTCTTTTCTTTTTTATCTTATTGAGTTTATTGGTACTTTTTAAGTATATAGCACAGTTACATTCCTCACTGGGATCTTGTACCTTTACATGTCTTGGTTCTCATTTTTTCCCCATACCCTGACCTTCCTTTACCCTCTCCACCCTCCCCTATTTACAAGGAATTTGTTTCCATTTTTCCTTTGCTCATACTTCCTCTTGTCCCTTATGTCCTTTCCCCTACCCTTCCCACTTCCCCTACACCTTTAACCCTTTTCTTCCTATTCCACATTATCGGTTTTACAATTTGTGTACAGTTATACAATTTGCACTTTTAGTTTTTCACACCAGAGAAACACCTCCCTTTTTCTGTGGAGGATTTTGGGAGCCAGACTCCTAAATTGGCTCATTCTGATGTAGAAGAGACGGGGTGGCCCCAAGCCATCCACCTCCCGAGGAAGAAGCAACTGGGTTGTAGTTTCAGTCGGTTCCCCACTTCGCAATGGACTCTTTCCTGCAGATTTCCACCTGGGCTCTCATCCTCTTGTACACGTACCAACCCTCTACTTTCCTTTCCTTAGCACCCTTCTTCATTAAATTGTTTGCTGAGACTGTATTCAAATGACAGATATTCATAACTGCTGTCTTCTCCTTCTCATTTGCTGTCATTAAATGGATATTGCACCATTTTTCAGAGGTGAATCTCGTATTTGTACTCCTGGCCACTGTTTTTATAAACAGAGGTTTGATAGGTTCCTTCCGTTATCTGTCAAGTACTGAACAGGAGTCTGGGGTTCATTTCTTTATTCAAGAATCATCAATTAAGGCCCTAGCTTGTGCCAGACACTCTCCTAGAATCTGAAAATGGAACAAGCTGGTTACAATTCCTGTTCTCGTGGCGTCCCTGGGGGGCAGTGACCAGCTATCTAAATAGAGAAGGAAAGTGCAGTGTATAGAGTATGTAGCCCAAAGGAGACCGGCAGTCCCACACCATAGTTTTGTAATTTCAGATGAGGGAATTAGGGAAGGAGCACAGATGAGCTAGCCCCTGAAGTGGGCACTGGAGGACACCGAGCTGGAAGTCACAGGAATCTGGGAATTATCCACTTAGAGGAAGCAGCCTGTGCACCCTCAGGGCGCAGGGCCTCTGGATCTCTCAGGAACAGCTGAGAGGCCTGTGAAGAAAAGTGCAGTGTGCACTGGGAGATTGGGAGCTGAGGGATTCGTTTCTCGATGTGACTTAGGTTTCAGTTGGGTGCTCTGGGAGTTAGGTTTAGAGTGGACACTCCGGGTTGAGAGCCGAGAATAACTGGGACCCATTTGATAGCAATGGGCATGAAGAGAAATGGTTGCATTCCAGACACCATTTAAAGATAAAGCCAATCGGATTTTCTGATAGAACAATGCGATGGCAACTGATCACAACGTTTCTACTCCATTCCCTAATGTGTTCCTGGGTCCCCAACATCAGAATCACCTTAGAAATGTGTTGAAGTAGATTCCCGGGACACCTCTGAGTAAAACCTGTGAACCTCTGAGTAAAACTCTGTCATTCAGAAGTCAGTAAGGTTTTTCTCTAAAGAGCCAGAGGGCTGAGGCAAGAGGATCACACGATCCAGCTAGGCTGGA